AGAGACCTTGTCTTGACAAACCACATGAAGTGAAACAAAACAGCAATTATAGCAACATGAAGTAAACAAAGAAAAAGACCCTGTTCCTTTCCCGGGACCAGTCAGGACCAGCCAGGACCAGTGGACCAGTGGACCAGTCTCTGCAAGAATCCTCTCCAGCTTCCTCGGTCTCTTCCTCCAGTCTCCTGATACCCTTTGTTCTTACGTCTATGGCATTATTCCCCCCACACCCGCACACACACACACAGACAGTTAATTTTGATGCCTTTCCATGTGTGTCAACTATTTGTCAGCCTGAGCCCCTTTGTCCCTCCGTCTGTAGTCTATTTGAGGATTACTCAATGTGGTTTGATCTCATCTCCACCAAAGTTTGTTTAGATACTCATTTCAATATGGCTTTTAATTCCTAAAAGAAAAACAGTGTTCAGTTATCAAGGATGATGGCATATGTTTCCCAAGTCTGTGACAAACTTACTGTCATGTTTTCCAACTCACCTATCATTAGCGAATAGCTTTTAAAATGGGAAAATGAATGATTGTCATTACTTAATGATGCTGGAGAAGAATAAGAGGTGGGCATCGAACCCCCAGAACCAATGCACTATCATAATACCTTGCCTCTTAATAAGACCTCATATTTGCCAGACTGCTACGACACCAATTTTCAATGACTGATCATTTGGAATTCTGATAGGTCTCAGTAAACACTGAAAACAATCTACCTTTCTAACCGTTACCATTCACCGTAGTAACTAGACTCCTTCTGAGAGTGCAGGCTTGCTTTCCAGTGGAAGAAGAAGGCGGTCACACAGTGGCAGTGTCAAGAGCTCAGCAGGGCTCCGTGGAGTTTCACAAGCACAGTATAAAGCTAAGCATTTTAACTGGCTCTAAGTTTGGGGGGCGCTATTTCATTTTCTGAAAAGAGATAGGCTCGGTGAAAGCTACTCTGTGCCTTTGAGGTGCAGAGGATGTCCCAGGTAAAGGGGAGGTGGCCACAGCAGGCCAAGGGGCTAGGGAGGGACTACAGATTTGGAATAGTTAGAAAAGTGGTATACGAGAGCCAAGTTTGTGCTGGAGAGTTGAACTTGGGTGAAGCAGAGAAAAGGTTTCTAGTTACTGCCTTAAACCTTAGTTTCTCGTTGGCCATGTGATGGTCTGAGCATGTGGGCTGCTCTCTCTGGGGATAGTGAAAAACATTGGAAAGAGCAGGTAATTCTACATATTAAATTACAGCCTACTAGGCAGCCAGTCAGGTGAAAGGGTCTGTTTTTTTATAATCTCATTCTTTCCATGATGTAAACATACGGTCACCTTTCAGCTGAAACACTGGCCCAGGGATGAATTGCTTGGCAGTTGACAACAGCTTTTGTTTCGTAAGATTTTGAGTTACTTTTAATTTGATGGTAAATACATTGCTAAGTGTGTTAATGGGGGAAGGAAGAAAGGTATGAAGAAAAACAAGGCAATACAGTAATGCTACATTCCAAGGAATATCATAATTTATACTTTCAATGTTTTTATGTGTGGTGTATGTGTGCATGTTTGCATGCGTGTAGGCTCACATGTGTGTGGAGGCCTTGAGTAGATGTTTTCTGTCTTCCTCAACTGTTCTCCACTTCACTGAGGCAGGGTCTCTTGCTGAATCTGAATCGTATGAGAGTAGCTACTGTAGCCAGCTAATTGCTCCAGGAATCCAGTTTCTGCCACCCAAGCCCTGGGATTAAAGGTAGGCAACCGTACCTGCCTAGCATTTACACAGGTTCTAGGAATCTCAGCTCTTGTCCTCATATTCCTTGGACAAGCACTTTATCCACTGCGTCATGCAGCCCTGCGTTTTACAAAGCTTCAATTGAGCTTTTGTCACTCATAGTCATTCATTCTCATGTGCAACTCACTGAGCTGAGTGTGCAGATTTGTACTCTGGTGAGGGAAGCAAGGAGGGTACAAGATGAAGGATGTGAATAGTTAGATGCTCCGTGGAGTCTCCTGAGTACATCTAAAAATTAACAGAATTTCAGCTGGTTTTCAGTTTTTTAAAATAATTCATTTATTTATGTTTTATTCCATGTGCATTGGTGTATTTCTGTGTGAGGGTGTCAGATCTTGGGGTTATAGACAATTGTTAGCTGCCATGTGGATGCTAGGAATTGAACCCAAGTTCTCTGGAAGAGCAGTCAGTGCTCTTAACCACTGAGCCATCTCTCCAGTCCCTGGCTTTCAGTTTCTAAGATTGCAAGTGCTTTAAGTCTCATGACAATCTTGGCTGTGTGAATAGATTATTATTCCTTCCAATGACTTAAATTCAATGAGGACTGGAACCTGGAGGCAGGAGCTGATGCAGAGGCCATGGAGGGAGTTGCTTTCTGCCTTGCTCCCTATGGCTTGCTCAGCCTGCTTTCTTATAGAACCAGGGCCTTCAGCCCAGAGTTTGTCTCTAGCTACAATGACTGGGGCCTCCCTATCTAGCACTAATTAAGAAAGTACCCTACAGGCTTGCTTCTACCCTGATCTTATGGAGACATCTTCTCAACTGAGGCTCCTGCAGCTTGGTTCAAATTGGCATACAAGTAGCCAGTACATACAGGTTCCGCAAATAGCTCTTCTTGTCCCTCCTTGATGACTGTGGATTCTGGGAAGATACTCAGGTCCTTAAGAGTGCGGCTTCAGTAAACAACTAAGCAGAACTAATTTGGTTTAAACTGAGGGAGGCTTTATAAGCAAGGCGAATGCAGCTGACCATATGGCCTCTATTCTGTGGGCCACCATGACGTGAATAACTGCTTCAGTGTGGGCTTCACTGGACAGTATTTTGTCTGGAATTTTAATTCTTTTTACTTTCTTATTTCTTTTATATTTATGCATTCACTAATTCTCTTGTCAGTGTGCATTCTTCTGGAGGCACCAAGGAAATGTTGATACTTGATATTTATTTCCATTTTACTAGCACTTATTAATTGTACAAATTGTGAACTACATTGTGACCTTCCATGCATGCATATAGGATACTTTGATCACCTTCAATCCACTATTAGTATGTTCTACTCCATGCCCCATGGCTTCCCTTCCTCTGTCTCCAAGCCCTCCTTCTTTTATCATCTCTATTGTTTTCTTCTTTCTTCTCTAATTGTTATTGTTCCATTTAGACATCCACATAAATGTATAAATTCAACCTGCTGACCTGCATCCTCTTAGTGCTGCTCATAAGGACATGATTTTAGGGCTGACGAGTTAGTATTAGATAAATACTTGAGGAAGACAGATTCCCCCTCACTTATCAAAGTCACAGACATCTTTTTCAAAAATTTACCCCAAGATATTTGAGGTTAGCACACAATACAAAAGTTTCGTTAAGACATTTTCATAAGTGTATATCATGCTTTGTTCTAATTTCTCCCTTACCCCATTGTCCTCCCTGCTTCACTCTGTCAAATTTATGTCTGAGTTAAAGAAGTGGAGTCTAAAGAGAAAAAAAATGCATGGATGAAGAGGCAGGATGAAAGGAACACACAGGAAAACACATACAAGTATGTGATGGTCCTTGAGAATGCATGCGTGCATGCGTGCGTGCGTGTGTGTGTGTGTGTGTGTGTGTGTGTGTGTGTGTGTGTGTGTGTGTGTGATCCCCATTTCCTTAGATATCATGGGCATAGAGTTCAGGGAAATATAATGAATCTCAATAACATGAAACCTAACGTCATGCCTTACAGTGTTGATGAGAGCTACCAGTTCTGTCTTAAAGGGTTGCAGCATTAGGAAAGTTGAGAACCACTGACCTAGATAAATGTCTTCATTTTAAATATTCAGCCTAGAAAAGGCAAGTTTCATGTTTAAGTCATGTCAAGGCAGGTTTCATGTCCAAGATATGTAGAGAAGGTTAGTAGAAAGAATGGAGCTATGAGACCATAACCTCCTCATCAGTCTGGGACTAGTTTCTCACTCGCTGCTCAATTCTGGCTGGTTGACAGATAATATAAAATATAAATAATCTGTATCCAAACCAAACTGATATCTTTCCTGTCTTGGTCTTTGGCTTGTATACAAAGGGCGGTTTTTCTCTTTGTAAAAGTTCTTTGTTCCAGTTGGCACAGTCTCCTCTTACTGGATTGCCTTCTTTTCTCCTTGGCTTTTGTGTTTCAGTCTCCTGACAATTCCTCCCAGCCTCTCCACCCCACATCCCAACCTCCCACCATCTCTCTGCTGCCACCATGGATGCGGATACTGAGTAAGTCAATCAGTATTGCTTGTCTCCCTTCCCGCTGGGCTCCACATGTACCCAACTAAGGCCATTTCCTGGTTGTCAGCCTGCATCAGCACTGCAATAGCTAAAATATTAATGACACCCTCTGTGAAAAATAACACCTCATTATAAATTATAAATTAAAACTGCAGAGAAGCAGCAGCAATGAAATAGAGGAACTCAGCAAAAAACACACATTATTAAAAAGTTCTGAAGAGTAAAGACAGAGACTGACATCTTTAGTTCTGTCTTGCCCATCACAAAGCTGGGATCTTGCTGCAGCCTCTGTTGGCTGAGATTTGCTATTTCCCAACTAGCTGGGGTGTATAGAAAAGCACACTCCCTTGGACTTTGCTCATCTATCTCCTTTCCTGGGCTTACCCAGAGAGAGGTTGAGGGAAGGGTAGCAGAGGTAAGAAAAGAATAAGTAAGTGGTGTAGATAAAGGGAATATGAGCTTCTTCTGCTATAACTTCATGTGATACACTGGGGTATCCATAACTGGGAGACTGAGGTGAAAGTAGCTAGATTTAAAGCCAGAGAAACATGGTCCTAGCCTTTATTAAATCCTTAAGTGACATGAACACTTGGGACTTTGTGTCTTAATGATCTGATTCCTCCAATTACATCCCATCATTACCATCGTTATATTCTTCAAGGTTTGTCACAAACCGCAGTGTGAGGCTGTATTTTCAGAATGATTTAATGAGTAACAAAAGGAGAGGGTAGAGAACATAAACTGATCTTTGATATTGGCAGCACAGTGGATATTGATACTTTTATTTTTATTGTGAGGAAGAAGGTACAAGTGGCTAGGGATAGAGATATCACTGGAGAAATAAAGACAGCATCATGTCTGCATAATTCATTTCCAAGCTACATGGGAAAGTGGGGTGGATCATTTAGGACCAGTCCAGACAGGTGCCAGCAGATCCCCCATGGCTTGTGGGGATATGGCAGTCTTCCTTAGAATACTGGGCATGGGTCAAGCTTCTGATGACCCAAGATCCTTTTTTTCCTTGTCACTCTTGTCTCCCCAAATTCTTAATCTGACTCCCATTCTCTTATCTTTCATTGTTTCTTTCTTAAGACTGATTCTCACAGGTTTCTCCTGGCCCTTATATTCATTTTCATTATTGGGTATATTGACATATGTTTTTGAATCGAGGAAATTCTTTCAGTCTAACATCTCAGCTCGGTTCACAAACTCTCCCACCTCACCCTTTCACCTCCAAGTCCCCTCTCTTCTGGAGCACATGGATCTTCACTTGAATGTCTAGTCTGTGTGGTTCCCATGGAAGGAGAGAGTGGGTATGTTCCCTCAAGACAGAGCGTGCCTCCCCATTCCAGGTGAGGTCTCCGGGTGTCACTCGAACAGACTTAGCTGTAGAGAATCTTTACCGTAACTCTTAACTCTTCCTTTCTCTCAGTCCACCTTCACGAAGCTGAATTTGAAGCTTACGTGATGGTGAGAATAGCCACAAAGCTTTGGCAGGTGCTCTGGGCAGCAGGCTACAAGTATGCAGATGCTGTATGTGTGGTATGCAAGGAAGCCATCAGCAGCAACTGGGGATGGCTGTTACTGAAAGCGTTAAAAGTGAGAAACATAGCTTATATGTGGGTTTGTTTATGCGTGTAATCGTGGTGAGAAAGGCCCAGGCAGCTGATGCTGTACCTCCCATCTCAGGGAAGAGACCAAAGAAAGAACTGCAGATGTTCTAATTAATATTAGTCTATATGACAGGACACCCTCAGGACGCCTGGCCCCTTGCCCTTCCCTCAGACTTCTGTAGGTGGCAAATCTAAACATTTGCAAACTCGCAGTCATAATCAGTCATCCGGCACATTATGAACTTCCATTGGCGATCCCTGTGGGAAAAGAGCCAGAAGACGAATGTCAGTGAAAACAGAGTCGCTGTGGGGAAAAGCAGTGAAGGGCTTTGGCAGGGTTTCAGAGCTTCAGGGATTCCTCGCCTTGTTCTCAGAAGACTGCAGTAAAGTCTCCAGAGAACCAATGGGTCTGTAAGGTTAGACAGCCCCTTGCTGGCTATGGGCCATATAGAGGCTCTTATTCACGGCTGGAGGTTAGTTCTCTGTGGCTGAACCTCCAAGGTGCCTCCAGGATTTACAAGTTCATGGCTCAGAGTAAAAGCATTTGTTAGCATCATCTCCATTTCATTGTGAAGAATCTTCCTCTAAAAGGCCATCCAAATTCCTGCCAACACTTGCTCTCCACCCGACCAGTACTCTCCACACACTGGGATCCAGAAGACGCATTGTGCTCCCTTGAAACACATGTAAGGGGAGTGGGGACAACTCAAGACATCTTCAAGTGAGAAAGAAAACGCCTGTTCTTCTCTCCTGTCAGGAATGGAATGACCTATTTAAGGGATGGGATGGGTTTGAGAGGACAGAGAAATGCTCAGTTTTGAGAAACATGGTGTGGATGCATGTGTTTGCTAAGCTGAGGACCATGTTCTTTTTTTCAATCACTTAATAGAAATGCATGGAATATCTACCATGCATAGCACTCCTGTGTTCTGACACTTTTTAACAGTGATAGAAATGGTTGTCATTGTGAAGCCTCTAGTGCTTCCAATGTGCCCAGGCCTACACTAGATTCTCTACGACTATGTGTTCTCTCAGTAATCCCCACAGTGACTCATTGTTTTGTAAAGAAATAGATTCAGTGGAATAAGACTTGCTTTAAAGGATTAAAGTGATACACGATGATATCAGATTTCAAGTGTGCTGGCCTCAATTCTTGGTCTTTCTCTTCTACCGCTCTGCATCCCTTTGCCAGGTGCCTGTAATGCTACCAGAGGACACAGCTGCCATGCTCTTTGAACAATTCCAATAAAGTGTGGAACTATTTTATCCATATTCAACCAAGCAATCTCTTCCAAAGCACAGCCCTTTCCCCTTCTCCCTTTTCCATGCTCCAGGCTTCCTTTTAACTCGGCAGTACGTGTGTCCAGCTTCTGAAAGGGGAGTGTGTGGGGATGGCCATGCTATTCTGGGTGAGGTTGTGGACGGTAAGCAAATAGCCCAAAGCCAGCTTACTAATTCTGTGTCTGTTTTTCTAGCTTGTCTGTGCAGAGCCGTTGGGGATAGCATTCTCCAGCACATGTCTTTAAGGACTGGAGGGAATGAGCCATGTGTTGATATTTGTTCTTGTAAAAAATCATCCACAGGGGATATGACTTGCTTTTGACAATTAGCAAGCTGGTGTTATGTGTATTTTCTAAGTAAATTCAATATGCACAGCTAAGAAGTACGTATCTATACATGAAGAAGGTAAGAAAGATCTCATGGCCAGGCATTCATGTTGTTCATTTAAGAGGCTGTTAATAGATTCTAAGAAAAATTTAGACTTGATCCTAAAAGAATCAAGGGGTTCAACCAAGTTCTGTTTTCCATCCTAGACAGTACTTTTCAACTAGGGGTTAAGTGGCTCCCATGGTATATTTGGCAATGACCGCAAAGAGTTCTGCCTATCACACTGAAGGTAGGCCTAACACCTAAACTCACAGGACATGCACCTGCAACAAAGAACTATCTCAGCCCAGAATGAGGAGGAGACTTCCATGAGTGAGTTGTATACTGAAGGGAAGCCCTAATGGGGTTGGGGGTGAGCATACCATCTCTTACAGAAATGAAGAAATGAAACTGTGGATCGTCAAGTCACTGACTGTTGGTGACTGCAACAAAATTACATGGGCATGCTCATTTTATTTTATCTGGGAGGAGGAGGAAATCATTTTAAAACAACCCAGAGACACTGTATCTCAGTCTTCGGCTATTCTATACAATTTATGTAGCTAATCATTTCCAAGCCAGTAAGAACTGGCTGTTTCAGCTGCCAAAAATATTTATTTCACATTGACTTTATTGTTTTCATTTCCTGCTATATTTTTAATCAGAAAACTCAGAACCAATTTCCCTTTTAATATGGGGAATCTTTGGGAGCACTGGACACTGGTATTATGTTCTGAACTTTAGCAGCCATTTTCCTGCTCAATGATATGAGATTTCCATCCTCTTTAAGTTCTTGGGTCTTTCTCTTTCTTCTTAAATATGGTTGCTATGTGGTACACCACTCAATTGTTTCTCCTCAGTGGAGGGGAAAAGTTTATCCTAAGTACTATTCCCCTTTTAAACTGTAGTTTTAGAAAACAGGTAACTAAGTTAAAACCCTATCTCAAATAAAAACCAGTTACATATGAAAACTGAGGTGTTCTTCTGTGGAGAAACAAGAGTCTCTGCTTGTGGACCCTGGAGCATACAACATGCTTCTTCAAAGCTACTTTGTATCTTTGAAATTTGTATTCCATATTAAACAAGTTAACAGCAGTTAAATGAGATGCAACTTCATTTGAAAGCATATACACAAGAGATAAATGGTATTCAAATTGCTCATAGTCTGTTACCTAATGAGATTTTGTTAGTTTTATGTGGTTTACATAGCCCAAGTGGGTGATCTTCCTAGAATTCATTTTTGTGTGACATTGTTATCACCTGATTAAAAGTAGCCACATCAACTCTTAGTGTTTGAATTTCTTTGTAGTTTTTTTTAATGTATTAATAGAGAACTAACCACAAGGTCCACATGAAGTTCATGTCTACAGAAATTTTGATCCTTGTTTTCTTATTGTTTTGATGTATTTGGGAGAGGATCACAAAGGAATAGCAGGAGAAGTAGGGGTAAGAATGGGGGAGGGGTGGAGTAGATAGTGTGTGGGTGGGAGTGGGGTGGAGTTGGGGGTGGGGTGGTGGTTCAGGTTAGTGCTGTTTTTCTCCTTAAGTTATGCAAATCTTCTATTCATTCAAGAAAGGTTCTGACTTCATCTGGAATTACTTACTCCTTTTTCATTTCTGGATATGATTAGTTAGATCACATGGTCTACATGTTGATGTCGTCACAACATCTGTGTGCCGGAAAATAATGTCCAATGTAGTCACTGTACTAAGTAGTACTAAGAAGTAAGGCTTGTGGGGACTGATTAGGTAAAAAAAAGATGCTGCCCTTGTGCATGGCATTAGTGCCTTTGTAAGCAGGCTGGGTGCAGCTGTCCTATCCACCTGCTGTGTGGGGACACGGTAAAAGGCTCCATCTTTGAAGCAAGGAGTGCTCCTGACCACATATCTGCTCCTTCCTCGATCCTGAGTTTCCCAGCCATCTCTGGGGCTGAGAGCAATAGATTTCTGATTTTTATACATTGTCCAGTTTCAGGTGTTGTGTTCTAGAGGACTGAGCATACGGAAAGAGGGGATTTTGTGTGTTCTTCCTTGCCAATCCCTCCTGTTCTTTCTTGCTCCCTTCCTACAGTTCTAAGTGGACAACACACGGAACACAGGGCTGGGAAGGGCTCAATTTGATAGTGAATACTCTTTTAACCATTCCAACCTGTTCATGTCATGTCTAGTGCTTTCTGAAGTTGAGTGCAGGAATTTCTCAGAACATCAAGGAATGCCAGTGTCAAGCTCAGGACTCTGTTGTGGAGTAGGCTGGTATGTGTCCTCCTTGGCAAGATCATGCTGCCTTGTGAGGCAGTTTCGTCACTTCTCAATGGCTCCTGCTACCTAACCAAACCCACAGTTAACTCTTGACTAAGTAGGAAACTAGACTGTGGAGGTCAGCTGGTAAAAATACCCACAGTCAGGATCCCGGCAAGGAGAGAATCCACACAGCTCTAACCTGGAGCTCACTGGAAAGGGACTACTCTACTCACCTTTCCACTGCAGAGAAAGTGGTTGTTGCTCCTCGGATGTAGTAGTCGTAGTTATAGGAAATCATGTCCATTTCCTCCCCATAGTGGCCTGGGTACTCTGTTGTCAGCCTTTGTGGAGAGAACAAAGGGTTGGAGCAAACAGAACGCTCATGTGAAGGAGTGGGGAAGAACTCTGAACTGGAGTTAGAAGGTTCCCACCAAGCCCAAATGAGAGACATTTTCCTCCATCTCTCACCTTCCTTCCCCTAGCCATTGAACTGTATACTAATCACACGAGGACAGAAACTATAAAGGAAACATGCAGAGACTCCAGTCTGTGGAGACAGACAGAATTATTTCCATTCTATTCAGGTCAGCCTGTTCCAAATTGGATCATAAAATCAATTAACTGATTATGACCAGTGCTCTAATACTTTATACTTTGACAGCCTGAAAGGGTCTAGAATCACCGTGGAGACAAATCCACAAGCTTATCCATAAGGGAATTTTCTAGATTGGTTTAATTGGTAGGAAAAGCTACCCTAAATGTAGATGGTACCATCCCATGGGCTGGGGTCTTGAGCTAAATAGTGAAAGCAAGCTAACATCAGTATTCATCACTCTTCTCTTCTTGACTGGACACTATCTGGAGCTGCCTCTACCTCCAGATGTCTAGACTTCTCTGCAGTGATGGACTGTACTCTGGCACTGTGAGCAAAAAAATAAACCTTTGCTTCCTTAAGTTGCTTTTGTCGAATCATTTTTTCATAGCAATGAGAAAAATAACTGATATACTGGTTTAAAAAAAAGAACACAACAAAGTAGAAAGTATCAGGTCACATGGTACATTTCCTGCACTAGAGTTATTCAAATATATGTATGTACTTACTGTGTGTATATAGTATGTGATAGTTTAACACACATTTCTTATCATGACTAATAATAGTAATCATGTTTAAAATATCTGGCTAAAATGTGAGCTTTGCAAAGATACAGCTGTAGAGAGAAGCCTTCTGCCAGCCTGGTCCCATGAACACACAGGATGCTATATTAATTATGAAGCTGTTGGCCTTGCTTGTTTCTTACTGGCTAGCTCTGACTTAAATATTTACTCCATAATTGTTAATCTAAGTATTTCTTTTACCGGAGAAAAGGGTCTGGACTTCTTACCCCTATGGCAGCTACATGATGACTCCCTGTGTTTCTCCTTCCCAGAGTCCTCCTTGATTCCTAGTCCCACCTATCTTGCTTCCCTATTGGCCAACAGTGCTTTATTTAACAACCAATAAGATTTCAGAATGACATCTCCCATAATACAGCTCTATCCATCACCATTGTTTTTCTGGCAGCTCAAACAGTTCTTGCTATTTGGCAAATATTTTCTGAATAAATAAATGGCTTTGGGAGAGTAACTTAATTGATTTCCTGATCTATTAAAAATGAAAGCTGTCTTATTCATTTTCATTGCATCTAGTGAAAGTCTGTGTGATATGATTATACAAGGCAGGTGTGGAATCATTAAATAATATTCTCCTCCTCCACCAGCATCAGCACCTCCTTTTCTTATTCTTCCTTTTTTACGCTCGAAGATGGAGTCAATTCTGGGACAAATTTAGACTCCCCTGGTTCTCATAAAGATTTGCCACTGGGATTCATCAGGACCAAAATAGGCTCTTTTGGGATAAAAAGGCCTCAGTGTCTTTACCTAGGCAGGCCATGAATTCACTATGTAGCTAGGATAACTTTCACCTCTGAGTATTTCCCCCTTTTCCTCCCAGGAGCCAAGATTACACACATGCATTACCACTCTTAGGGTCCATCTATATCCCCAGGGCCACTCAGGAAACAGCTAACTTGTGAGTGCCAGTAATCCCATTTGATTTTGGTTTGCCAGGCTATTGTATATTGAAGATAGAAAGATCTTCCTTTCTGCAATCTAATGACCTTTCTCTTAAGTCTGAAAGAATTTTTAAAAATCCCGATTTATCTGTTAGAAAGACTGATGGGAAGGACTACAAGGAGTGCATAGGAGCAGCAGGACCAAGGTCAGCCCAAGGTAAGTGGGACTTTGAAATCTAAATACGCTCTTTGGGCTTTTCTTAGTCATCCTTCGCCTGCACACCTCACTCTCTTCTATGTACTGTCTTTTTTGAAGACATCACTAGGCCATCTTAGATACCAAGCCTGTTCCAGCATGGTTGATTTCTACTTGATGTGTTCATGAAGGGAAAAATTGAAGTCTCCTTTATGCTTGTAAAGAGTCCCTGAAACAACACTTCTTTTGTCTAACAACAGTTAGTTAAGTGCTACATAAAAGGACCTAATCAGGCCTCATTTGGATCCCACTGGCTTGTGATTTGAGAATTCAGTGACAGCATTAGGACAGGTCACCCAGAGACAGAGGGGGCTGTCAAGAATATGCATAATGTTAGCATGATTTTGAAAGTGTTTTTCTTAGTTCATAAACATATTCTACAACTTTAAAGAGCAGCATTTAGACACAATGCACAAAGCTTAGTTACCAAACATTTTTCTTTCTGCTATAGCAAGATTGCATTAGGCTATGCCCAGTTGCCCAAACTAGTTGACTATTGTTTCTATTGACCTCTGTCCTCAGATCACTTGGATAGTTAAAAACATTTGGGATAAAGTGGGAAAGAAAAGCTTGCATTTAAGATAAACATCAGTAAGTATTAGGTTCCAGAGAGACAAACAATTCCCTAATGCTTTTTCTGATGATGATTCATTATTCAGTCTGTAGTGAACAAATGGGGTCTTTGGCTCAGCTGGGTGGGTTTTGCCTGGAAGCCTCTTTATGGTGGCACAGTCAGCTGTCTGCTGAATTTCTAGAATTTTCCAGAGAATGTGAAGTGTGTACCACTGGTATATTTCCATCTTGGTCCCAGTTAAGTTTAGCTTTGATTTTTTTTCGGTTTTACGAGACAGGGTTTCTCTGTATTGCTTTGGAGGCTGTCGGTCCAGCCCAGCCTCGAACTCAGAGATCTGCCTGCCTCTGCCTCCCGAGTGCTGGGATTAAAGGCGTGCGCCACCAACGCCCGGCAAGCTTTGATTTTTTTTAATTGTGTTTTGTTTTGCTTTCATCATAAAACAAGGAAATCACGTTTCTACTGTGTTCCAGAACTTTGGACTAGGGGAACAGTGAAGGACACTGGAAACTAAAAGTATGGAAGTAGAAAATAACCCAATCATTGGTAGAATATGAACCTTCCAAACACCACCTACAGCAAGAATATCTTTTTAAATTCAGCTTAGGAGTCCACGTTTTTAGTTCAATAGATACATGTTCATTTATTTCTTAACATCATGCATATACACACAATATCCTAATGGATAGAAGTCCTAGTGATGGTTCTTCTGGGAGATAAAGGGCTTTAAATTTTAAGAGGTAGAACTGAGACAAAGTGTACACACTTTTCAGAAAGTCAAAAGAGGACAAAGGAAACAAGATTATCATGCTTTATTGGACATGGTGTTAGCTCTCTCGAGGGTAGCAGAGAATTCAGTGTGGTTTCGCCTTCTTGTAAATTACTATGTAGTTTCAGACAGCTTTTTGGCAAAGTCCCCCATACAGAGAATTGTCACACATTTCTAGTCCAGCTAAAATGATCAATTAAGCCTGAGGGTTGGCAAGATGAAGGGGACAACAATATATAAAGAAATGAGCTTGTTTTTAAAGTACGCTGAGCAATGTAAGGGGAGCATATTTACTTTATTTCACTTTAAAAAATCACTGTGTGAGCCGGGCAGTGGTGGTGCATGCCTTTAATCCCAGCACTCGGGAGGCAGAGGCAGGTGGATCTCTGTGAGTTCCAGGACAGGCTCCAAAACAATACAGAGAAACCCTGTCTCGAAACAACAAAAAAAAATCACTGTGTGTGTGTATGCATGTGTGTGTGTGCCCATGTGCCCACATGTATGTGTATGTGCTCATTTTTCCTACCACTTTCAGTAAGAATCTACTGGGGTACAGTTTTTCACGTCTTGTTCCAAAACTTGGAGAACTTGGTATCTTAAGCCTTGTCCAACTTCTTGTGTCAGATAGGGGTGAACAAGATGAAGGGAAATTAAATGATATCTTAATTATGAACAGCTGAAAATTAGTTTGAACTGAAGGAAGATTGAGATGGGACTTTATCATCTGTGATACTTGAACCACTGAAATTGTTAACAGGTCAACTAGACTCAATGAACATCTGCTGACCCCATTGTAGGATGACTGGCATAGAGATCTCTTTGAAGTATCACTGGTACCTGGCACCATACACAAATTTTATGAGCTAGTGTTCACGGGGAGAGAGGACACACTCAAGAAGTATAGACTTGATGTGTCAGGATTGGTTTACATTTTACATTCAGATCAAAGATCTGGGAATGTTCTTAAATATCCCAGTCTATTCATGGTGAAGCTGCTTACATAAAACCTTCCCAGGCACACAGTAAGGAATGAGGGTACTTCAGGGTAGATGACTTTGTTAGTGCCCTAAAATGCTTAATACATGCTACATCAGAACTTGTTTGAGCTAGTTTTACAAAGACAAAATGATAAAACCCAAATTGGACTTATGTGTAAAAACAAAAACAAAAAGACACTCTCAAAGAAGCCATGTCCTCTGCAGTCACATAAGTGCCCTTCTTTGTGTAGATAGACTGGATTCTGGGAACTTGGGCTGTGACAAGGAATGTCAAATGTTCGTGTCTATCATCTGTGGCATTTGGGGTTTATATTTCAAACACTTCGGATATGTATCACTGCACAGGGGAAGCATAGTTCCTGGGATGTCTGTGACTTAAATTAGAGGAGGAAAGTCCCTGAACAGTTTTCAAATTGCTGTTTTGGAAGTGAGCCTCCAGATCTTGCTTCAAGCCCTGGGCTAGTCTGCAGTCACATTCGTTTTGATTACTGTTGACTGTCATCAGCCATATTATCTCCTGGCTACCCTGGCCTGCACATCAGCAAGGACAGCTTCACCTCCAATTTCTCCCTCCCACTAAACGAGCCCCTCCCCCTCACCATTAGTTGTCTGTTGTATCTCTGCCTAGTGCTTGATCTGTGTTCTTATTTTCTTCCTGTGTTGAAGTAGGCAGCTGTGCACTAGGCAAATAACGTG